ACCCCAAAGTTCAAAAGTGTCAATACTCTTTCTATCCTGTTTGTTCAGAGTACCAATTTTTGCTTCTGTAGAGTTTCAATGGTCTGCTTACCAGAAATCAATGCAACACTTATTTGCTGCCCAGGCGAGATGTGGGAACATTAATCCAATTGCTACATGTAAACTGTTGAGTACATAGTAGTAGCTGGTGAGAGTCCTTTGAAACAGTACGTAAGTCTTGAAATAAACTGTCTTTGAATTGTGCTGTTTCAGATTGCCCCCAACATTTTTGTTGGCTACTGTTTTTGTTCGTTGTTGACTGGTTGCTTCCTCTATAAGTGACTTAATTGTTTTATCTTCAAATGAGGATTTAATTAAAGGAAGCCCTTGTTAACCTAATATAACTTCAATATTTTGAAGTTTTTATAGTGCCATCAAGCTAAATAGCTGGGACAGTGATCTATGAGTGCATAATTCCCCAGAGGTTTGTGAAAGGATGCCTACTGAACATTTTGGTAGTTTTTTTACATGAGTTATAAAGTGCAGATAACAGTCCACAGGGAAGGGGCAGTCATTAGATAAAAAACAGGAGAGACGTTAAATTATATAAAATGAAAATGCCATGGCTGAAGGTTGGAAATTCATGACTGGGGCATGCTAGATTGAAGAAGGTTAGCTTAGAGGTGGAAGTAGCTGTGATTTGTTGTTAGGATTTAACAACTCATTTAGCTTTTTGGCTAGAGTAGCTCACTGAAATACAAATATCTTGCAAGTAAATCCAATTCTATGTAGTTTGAAGGTCTGTTTTGAAACTAATTTTCCCATAAACAGTGAATGAATATTTTTCTTTGTGACTGCTGCCCTCACATGGACCCTGATAAATTATACTAGTGGTGTTTAAAGCATGGAGCCATTCATTGCTATTTAAAGAAGAGGAACAGATCTGTTTATCACTTGGTTGAGGAAGAATAATGGTTGAATCATTAGATGAAAATGGAACATTAATAAGCAGATTTTTGAAATTAGTATTTTTTAAAAAGCTTCTTAAAATTAGGTCAGGATTATGGTCTTGAAGCTTTTGATAGGAAGGTCCAGAGATGTAGAGGAGTATGGGGATGGCCTTGAAGAAATATGCCATAACTGGGAAAAAACATGAACTTTGCTTGGAAAGGCATGAGAAATTCAAGATTACCCCACCTTGACTCTGTTTGGTATAAGAGTGAGGGAAGGAGAAAAGCTGTCAGGCTTTCAAGATTCTGTTACTATAGCCAATATTAATAAAATTGAGTTCTTGGATTTCTTGTGGTGTCTGTTTCCTGACTTGGCCTACTCTGTAGGGCTGACAAGAGGATAGCGCATTCAGTCCAGTTTTTACAGTACAGCTCTGGCATGTTGCTTGGATATGCTTGAAGAACTTTCAATATTGGGTTTCAGCTCTTCATTTATTAAATGGCTTGATCAGATAAAACTGCGATGAGCGTCAGCATTGGGCGCCTTAACCCGGTGTTTGGTTTATCCCACAGCACCAGTTATGCTTACCAAAAGTGGCCCACTAGGCATCTTGCATTCCATGCCTGGCTCCACGTCAGTGAGCCAGACTTCTTACCCATTTAAAGTTTGAGAATAGGTTGAGATCGTTTCGATCCCAAGACCTCTAATCATTTGCTTATTAAATGGGAATAGTAGTCCACATGGTTCTGGATGCGAAGAGAGATCTCTTTGGAGAAGACCCTGATGCTGGGAAAGATTGAAGGCAAAAGG